CCCTCTGGTGGAGAAAGTGGACAGACCTCCAGATCCCAACAATAACGAGGCTACAAAGTCATAAGGCAGTTAATTTAATTTTATGTGACGCAATTGGGTCCATTACAAAATAGTTTAATGATTCCATTTTAAAATCTAGGGCAACTTAGCAGCAGGTTTGTACTGTACATGCATATTTCATTTGCAATCCGGATTAAAAGTGGAACGGTTTTCTCCCCGTGTTGCAGTGCAGGCAGGATGCTCTACATCACAGGGGTCAAACTGATTCCAGAAAGGGCCGTGTGGCTGCAGATTTTCTTTCCAACCAAACAATAGCACACCAGACTCCATTCATTTCATCAAGTCATCATGTTTGGATTGGTGATGAAGATGATTGTGGTTGTACAGACCATTCTTTTTGTGAGAAATACTTCTTTGTAAAATCATCACTAGATAAAAAAGAATTTCTAGAGCAGAAATTTGAATAGACAATTATAGATACTAAATTTAAGTCTCCATTAAAGGGGGCAGCAAATACAAATGTTATTTTTTTTTGTATTACTTTGGTAAAAACACAGCTAGGTTTTAATAAATGGCTTTGAGTAAAGTCTAGTAAATTGGTGATGCTTCTTTACAGATACAAAAAGATCATATTGCTCCGGTCTACATCATCAACCTTCACATTTCTGATCTGATTCAACTGTGTTGTTTAACATCTTTGGCTATGGGAGGGGACCCTAAAATCACTGAATGCATCTACTTATTTGGAGAGATGGCCAGTGTTGGGTTCATGGTCTGTATATCCTTGGAAAGGTAAGTTATAAAACGTTCACTGGTGTATATTTCAAGTTTTTTATGCCATCATTTTAACGTGATGTTAATCTATTGTTTTTTAAACCTAGTCTTCTGTTACAGATATTTGGTCATCGTCAAGCCGCTGTGGTACAGATTAAGAAGGGACATCAATACCTTGGTGGTGGTCTGTCTTGTGGTCTGGATGTTGCCATTAATTTATGCCATCCCTTTCTATTGTGATGTTAATGTTGAGGTCAGAGAAGCTATTTATGCAATCTATCACCTCATCCCTCTTCCCCTTTTCAGCTTCTTTTTGTTTGGAACCATGGAAGCTCTGTCAGCAGCTCTCAGTGTCCCTGCTGATGAAAAACGAAGAATTGTAGCAATTCTGGTCACTGTCCTGCTCATTTATACATTGTTGTTTGTTCCAAGCATCGGTTGGTCTCTGGTAGAAAAAGCCAGAGATAGCTATATCTATAGTGGAGTAGTTTTCCTCTTTCTTAATTTGAGTCCTCTTGCAGATTTGACAATGTACTTCTTCATTAGAAAAGGAATCATCGACAAGCTTTTAAAATCACTCCCTTGTTGTAAAACATCTGCTGATCTGCAAACAAACAGTGCATACATTGATGATGGGTCCGTTTCATTGGAAGAACCAGTTTAAGGTTTAAAATCCACACCTTTACAGAGGTTACTGTGGGGCTTGTTTGTAAATGTAGTCCTGTTTCTCTCCTAGACAGAGCTTTTACAGTCAGTAACTGTCCGTGCTCTCTTTCATCCTTTGACATGCTGAAAGTTTCATCCTTTTTTAAATTGAGTTTTTCTTTTCCACTGTCATTAGATGCATGTTCAGTAAGTCATTGCTGAAGAGTTCACAACAAAATTAGAGCTCATCCAGGAGAACCAATAACTTGATGCAAGCAGTTTTCCTTGATAGGAACTTTTATTCATTCTGACTGTATGAACTGATTGAATTGAATTCTCTGTGTAAAGTGCCTCGAGATCACATGTAAGCTGGTGCTATATAAGTCAAATAAATTGGGTTAAAGAAAAGTAATGTATAGTGTCCATGGCCTTTTACAAGAATTTCATGCTGATTCTGCTACAGGAAGTGTGATGTTAACATTGAAGGTGACTAAGCAGGTGACTAAACACATTTGAGAGAGCTGTCTGTTATGTTATGTTCATAGTGATTTAAAGTGACACCTAATCTTTTTCATAGATTTCTTTCAACAAAGAGTTTAGTAAGTGTTGCACCCTCATGAATATAGCTAAAAAAATAGCTCCCAGGTAAGTTGCATAGCCATAAAACCAAAAAAGATGTCTTTTTAATCTAATCTAGGAGGTGAATAGATGGTAACGAGTAATTAAAGAGTAAAATAAAAAATATTATAACTATAATAGTTAATGTAAAAAAAGAATTTCTGTGCATTTTAATTTAAAATTAATCATCAAATACTAGTAAGCCCTTTGAATAATTATTCTATTTTTCTTGAAAAATCAAAATAAAGAAGCTAAAGGCTCAATATGTAAAATAACAACGTGCAGTATAGCTGTTATATATAGATTATATTGGTCAATATCTAAAAAAGAGCTGGTGTCTGTTAGCGCTGTTAGCTTCACTCTGGGGCTTGTTTTCAATTTTATGGAATTTTTTTCTAATTCGCAGCCGCAGATTAAATTTCTGCTCTGAATCTCCTTTGTCATTCATTTTATTAATAAAAGCAGATCTTTTTTCTGATCTGGTAATATCGGATTAGTGTGCATGTCCTTTCACAAGAATGCCCTGCTGGTTCTGCCACAGGAAGCATGATGTTGACATTGAAGATGACTTGACACATTTAAAAGAGCTGTCTGCAGATGGCCTAGTGCTATGTCACTCCCCAAACTACCGCCATTCTTGTTCACAGTCTCGTCACTTCACGCATCGATTACTGTAATTCACTTCTTTTTGGCCTTCCAAACAAGTCCCTCGAGAAACTACAGCTCCTCCAAAACTCTGCAGCACGCCTGATCACTCGGACCCCCACTTCTCAATATATCACTC